GGCACCCTTGTGGGTCAGATACTCAGATAGTCAGTGGGAAATGAAAGCAGATGGAAAGTGAAGGAAAGATGCTTTACAGAAAAGGCATATAGAATTAGGTTCACAACTAAGAGAACGGAGAGAGCACATTCTTGACCAAATAATAATAATAATAATAATAATAATAATAGTAATAATAATAATAATAATAATAATAATAAGCTTTTCCTGATGGTTGGACACTGGTATGGCAAAAAAACCCCAACCCTTTGTTTGCTAAATTTATGCATAAACTAAATAAATAAAATTAATGCAATGTGTGATTGGGTTCCTCTCTGCTAATCAAAGCTTGCAATTTTCCTCTTCTACCTTTATTTAATGATCTTATTTGCTGACATACTGCAGTGACATACTGAAGATTTCAGTAAGCATCCTACCTACTGTACCTTGTCTTTTACTAATGCCATGATCTTGATTTTCTTCAGTGCTTGTACAGCACCGTGTGATCCTGACCCACAGCTGCAGGCTGCAGGCACTGAAAACAAACAAGCAAACCAAAACAGATATAGGGAATAATATTAATTATTAATAATCTAATTAGAAAATGTTGCTTGAGTAAAAGGTAAGAACGATCTTTATTCTGAGGACGAGACCTCCTAGTAAAATAAAATAAAATAAAATAAAATAAAAGGAAAAGAGATTACAATTCAGTGCATATGATATGAGATGATGATATGACTGATCTACACCAGCAGAAAATCTGCCACTTCTCTTCATTTTTGGTTTGTGCAATTGCACTTGGAGACCATCCAACCAGTTGTGGTTTCCTGTATTCAGTTGCATCGCTCGTTCACATAAACAATGGATTCGTGTTCCAGTTGTTGGTTTGATAGCCCTATGTAAGCCATAAAAGGGGTTCACAATATGTTTATGGATTGTTCATAAAGCTGACAGCTGTATAAAAAAAAAACATTAGACTCAGTTCATTTTAGCACCCTGTTTATCTTCCTTCACTTTTGAAAACTCTTTCACCATAATGTAGTAACTCCCCATACACACATGAAATATTTTCTACTGAAGTGCTATGACCTTGATTCTGAATCTTCCTTGCTGGTTTTGGTACAGAGAAGTCTGGCTTGTGAATGGGGTTGACAAGAAGAATTCCAGTTAGAGTAGATGTTGGAAGTCCCAACCACACTGACGTATAACTCAACACCCATTAACATCTTCCAAAACATTCAACAAGGAGGTTTTAGGGATACAAGGTGGCTTCAGACAGTGAGTAGATGTGTATTCACAAACACTTTCACTTCCTACTTGTCACATGAAATCCCTTTAGAGTTGGTAAAGGTCTAGTCAATGTAGTCCACAGAGCCCAGAGCTCAAGACTTATCGTCCCAACCCGTACAGAATAGATCAGCTAAAATGTGCTCAGGTGGCAATATTTCAATTCTAAAAGTCCACAGTTATGTGAACTGAATCCCTCAGCTTTGCTTAGAAGGAACTGATAACACCCATCTTCCTGTCATCCTCAGGTCATCACACTTCCTTCAGCTGCCCTGTTTCAAGGTCATCTTCCCCAAAGGCATCCAGTCATCATGCAGAAATGGAGACCAAGAGCAGAGTTTGCTGCAGTCATTAATCACTTCTGTTGCTTTGGGATATGGTTGGTAGGTCTCATTCCTCTTTCCAGTTCTGTTGCTTTCAACAAACTTTTATTGATTCAGTCAACCCTTTCTCTCTGCATAGCAATAGAGTGGTGCTGGTTACACCAGCTAAAGGCCTGGTCTGATGCATTGATAACAAATCAGGGAAGACCTACAAATGGAAACAGCAACAACAAACCCGATTAAAAATACCTCTTCAGATCCACCAAACTTTCTGCTATTGATTGACAAATGAGGAGACTCAAAACACAGGAAGCCACCAGTAATTAATGGTTCATTTTGCAAATACTGACATCCTGGAGGTGGATATCGTTGTGTTTGAATAACAACACAGTGATTGTTTTCCTGTTTCTAATCCCAATGCAAATAATACATAGGAATAGACTTCACAGTTTGTTTATGGAATCTGATGCCATTACTTTATTTAAACAAAACTCACGAAGTGGAAGGCAGAACAGATGCACTGCACTGGGTTTGAAAAGAAAGCTAAATAGGGAACATAACCCCAAGGGCACAGAGCAGCAAATCCAGCCTTCAGCAAACTGCTGCATGAATCAGCTCTCAAATAATGTTCTTTCAGACATTTTATTAACAGTCTTTGTATTGCTGATTGCCCGGGGCAAAAAGCACAGACAGGAAACCCCCAGGTGCATTTATTTCTCTCTATTATGGCCTCCAACAACACCTTGTATCATAGAATCACCAAGGCTGGATAAGACCTCCAAGATCAACTAGTCCATGGTACATTTGTATGACATTTTCCCAAAGATACAGAAAAATAGGGCACTTTATGAGAGATGTTCAGCTCAGATGTTAATTTCATGTCAGGAGGAGAGCTAAATAACAGAGATAAGCTCCACTAGCTAGTGACCACTGAATCACTGTGTTACTACTGGTGTGAGGAAGAATCAAAACTTTCCTAAGTTGTTCATAACTGAGATGAGAAAAATGCTTTCTAGGCTGCACACAAAATGATAAACAATCACATAATCATGGAACAGTGCGGGTTGGAAGGGACCTCTAAGATCACTTAGTTCCAATCCCCTTGGTTGGAAGGGTTGCTAACCACTAAACCAGGCACCAGCTCAGGCTGCCCAGAGTCCCATCTAACCCAGCCTTGAACACCTCCAGAGATGAGGCAGCCAGAGCTTCCCTGAGCAACCAAACTTTTTGCAAAGCCCCATTCAACACCAAGCAGCTCCAGCCTCCCTACCCTCACACCACATCCCTGAAGCCTCGTTTTTTATGTTTTTTTTTTCCAGAAATATGTCAAAAAGAAACATGGGAAGCAAGTACCAACCTCCCACCAGCTGCAGCAAAGTGGGAGCTGGACATCAGCATAGTTTAATGGAAAGTGAAGTAAATGGGCAAAATCTCCCACACTATATCTACTCCAGTTTTCACAGAAATGAGCTCAGGACAAAATGATCTTGTGGGGGAATACAGCTCGGTATTGTTGGTAAAAACATCAGTTTAACACTTAGAAATGCTCCTGTGCCCACTCAGGAGAAAAGATAAAGGTTTAAACCTTGACCATCCCTGTGACATTGCATAAAACTACAGTTTTGAATCATCCTGGCTCCCCTTCACATCCCAAATGATGTATGTGGTGATGAGAGGCCAAAGAGGAGGTGTAGCAAAGCTGCAAAGCCAAGGTTTCATAGAATCATTAAGGCTGGAAAAGACCTCCAAGAGCATCACATCCAGCCTCAACCCATCCCCACCATGCCCTTAGTGCCACATCTCCATGATTTACCTCCAGGGACAGTGACTCCCCCACTTCTCTGGGTGTTGTTCAAACGGGATGCTCAAAATTAGTCAAGACTTTGCCTGTACATTCACTGTCACAAGACACAAAATGTTGGGATTCTCTCAGTCTGAAAAGAAGCTGGAAATGAACAATTTCAAAAGTATTCCCACAAAGAAACCTGAATCCAATGGGCTCCTTGGACGCATTCAGGCCACGTGAATAACTGAAGGAAGCACGCATGAAATGCTGTCGTAATAAAGCTATTATTAGCTGTGAGAGGCAGTGACCAGCTAATCAGCCGTTCCCCTGCCACTTTACGATCCAAACGAACTTTTAGATAGCTCTGTTGTGTGCTCAAGTCATCGTACAACTAATTGATGCAATTAGCATCCCATCCCTCTTTTTACACTGGTAATCATAAGGTAGTATCAAACCTACAAACTATGGGACTAGGGTTTTTCATATCAAACAAGGAAAAAAAAAAGTCCTGCGAGTATCCATAAAAAGCACAGACCACTCCATAGAGAATAAGAAATGAAACTTTCCACACTGTGTGTGAAAGAGGAGGGATTTCCACATTTACATCCCAAACACAGGCAGATTTGGCATTAGAATCACAGAATCATTCAGGAATGAGATCTAAGATCACCAAACCAACCCCACCCCACCATGCCCACTGAACCACATCCCTCAGTGCCACATCTCCAGATTTCCCAAACACCTCCAATGTATCACTAATCCTTCTGAGAAGAATTTTTTCCTAATTTAAACCGTCCTTTGCCTCTGGGAAGATTGGGGATGATGCTTCTGCACAGTGAAGCACAGCTCTGAAAGCTTCTCCCATCTGGGCTGTAGGAATCCCATGGTGACTGCACCAACTGGGGGGTAAAAAGTGAAAATCAAGCTTTGCTGATCTCCTCTTGGTTTCCCTCCATCCCATTCAGTTTAACCACTGAGCAAATGGTTAAAAAAGAAAAAGAGAAAAAGGAAAAGAGAAAAGGGAAAAGAGGAAAGGGAAAAGAGGAAAGGGAAAAGAGGAAAAGACAGGGGGAAGAAGGTTTTAGAAGTGGAGAAAGTCTGTAAAAGAGAAAAACGGAGGAAAGGGAGGGAGGAGGGAAAAAGGGGAGAAAGGAGGCAAAAAAGATAAGGTGGAAAAGAGAAAAAAAATATGGGAACTGGGGGAAAATAAAGATATGAGGGGAAAGGGGAGAAAAGGGGAAGGGTGGAAGAAGAAAAAGGGGAGAAGGGAGAAAGAGGGGGGGAAGGGAGAAAGGGGGCGAAGGGAGAAAGGGGGCGAAGGAAGAAAGGGGGAAGCAGTGAAAAGCGGAAAACGGGGGAAAGGAATGGAATGTGGAAGAAAGGGAGAAGGAGGAAAACGAAGAAAAATGAAAAAGGGAAGGGGGGGGGAGTGAAAGAAAGAATGTAAAAACTAAGGGAGGGAAAAAAAGGAGGAGGAAGGAAATGGGGAACGGACGGGGAAAGGGAGAAAAACGGGAAGAGAAAAAAGAGATTAAAAAAAAAAAGAATGGATAAGGGGAGGAGGGGACCCCCTCCCTCCCCCCGTGCAGCTCCGGCACCTGGGGCGGGATGGAGGCGGAGCGGTCCCGCCCCGTGTAGAAGGCGGCTGGGGGCGGCGGAGCGGTGCGGAGCAGTGCGGAGCCGTTACCGTCCCTCTGTCTCTCTCTCCGTCTCTCTGTTCTCTCACCGTGAATGCGCGCAACGGGAGCGCAAGTCCTGGAGCGCAGCGCAGCGCTGAGGCGAGGAACGGAGCGCTCGGAGCTCGGCGGAGCGCGGTGTCCTCGGCAATGCAATCCGCGCGGCTGCGCGTCCTCCTGCCTCTGCTGGGCTGCCTCCTATCCGCGGTGAGTGCTGCCGGTACGGGGTTGCGTGGGGTTCTGCCCCGGTCGGTAGGAGCTCTGTTTTTGTTGGATGGGTTCAGAAGAGGCGTTTCGCCTAAAGCAAAGTTTGGGCAACTTTGGAAACGCGGTCGGTGAAAGGCAGGTGTGCGTTTGCTGGGTTTCCCTTTCTGTGTATAAGCGGGAATCTCTTAGTTATTTTTTTTCTCCTTTTTTTTCCTCCTTTATTTGTTTATTTATTTTTCTTTCTCTGAGCTCTCCCTCTTCAAGAGTAACGGTATCGCAGGAGCTCGAGGAATTCACTTTGTGTTTTCAGTGCTTTCTCGCGACTCCCGCTGGCATTCAGCTTTGCCGTCTGCCGCTCCTGCTCAGGAGCGCAGTGGTGTTCGTGCAGCACCCTGCCAAAACTAGGAATAACGGGATGCGATACCCCAGGACAGAGGCTCCAGATGGTACCATCCCCACCCATGAGAAGTTCAGCAAAGTACCATTCTCCTGCACTTCAACCTCATCGTTCATCCTTTGGCAGCAAAGGATGTGTTTTCTTCCCGCTCTGTCCCTTCTGCTTGTAATTTCCATGCTAGCCAGTCCCTGACCACGGGCAGCGCTGCTTCTTTCCCACTGCTGACAGTTGGTAGCATGCTGTAGGGGTTAGCAAATGGGATTGATTCTGCTGGTGCATGCAATAGCTGATTTGCTGTGCAAACAGTGCAGGTGTGGGGCTGGGTACTGAATATTTTACTGAAGCTCTTGTTTCCTTGCAGTTTGCAATTTCTAGCTCGTTCCACACTTCTTTTTTTTATTATTATTTAGTGAGCTGTATGGGGAGCTGGCTGTGGCTGAGTTTCCTTCCCGTAGAGTTGGCTGATGTTGCCCATGGGAACTGGTTGCCCATTGGCACGTGGCCACAGGTCTCCCTGTATGATCACAGAGTGGGTTGGGTTGCAAGGAACCTTAAGGACTATCCAGTTCCAGCCACTTTGGCTCTGCTCAGCGAGTGACAGCTTTGAACCACTCCACTCCCCACAGGGCAGAGCCAACCAGGCTGAACCTCAGAGAATGACAAGTAACTCAGTTTTGAGACTGCTTCACTTGTGTCTCCTTACTTCTCCCCTTCTCACAAAGCAGTTGTTTCAGTGTTGCTTTCTTTTCTGCTGTCAGTGTGAGCCACCCAAGCAACTTCATCACCAAAACTTTCTTTGAGGAAGAACAGGTGGGAAAATGGATTGGAATATATGTATATGTGAATAAAAAATGGCCAGGTATTTCATTCCAGGAATCCTACAGACTTTGCCATAGTGAAGATCCAAAACAGCTCATGGCCAGGGCTGGAGTTGAGGGGGGGTTAAGACAGGAGCAGTGCTCCTCAGCTGCTGGAGCTGCTCCAGCCTTTGCTCCTGCTGAAGCTCGTGGCAAAAAAAAAAATCCCAGTTCATTAAATGCTGTTGGCACGAAGGGGTCCTCTGGGTCAGAATCCTGCAGAGTTGTTTGCACCGCATGTTGTAGTTTGGCATGCGTTTGTGTCGCTTGGTCCTGTTGGTGAGTGCACACCCTGAAGCTCTGCAACAGTGGCAACCTGCAGCCTCATTGTGTTCCAAGGGTCAATCCCCAGTCCTTTTTCAACCCTTGTAGTGTTTTCTCGTTCCATGCTTTATCTTGCTTCCTTGCCTTGGTTTAATGGAGCCATCGGTTGCTTTGCTGTTCTTTTGTTGTGTTGCTTTTCCTGCACCTGGTTTGTGCTGGTGGGTTAGAGAGATTTACAATCTCCTTATCTCTGCTGATCTACACAAGGTGACTAATACTAAAGTGTCTCAGTGCCAGAGCAAATCCCTGTTGTTTCTGTTTCGCTGTTTGAGCCCAGGAATCAGGATTTGTTTTTAAAGCAAAAGATAGCTGTGTGGTGGTGACAGTCCGGCTCTGGGACCTGAGATTGCAAAGGTTTTTTGCAAAGTTTGTTGTGATAACTTTTATTGGTCTGCCATTGGAAAAAAACTTTGAACGAGAGCAATAGGCTGATTGAGAAGTTCAGTGCTGTAAAGCTGTTGTGGCCCCGTGGCTTCTAATTGCCCCTGTAAAGTTTCACCTTGCCCTCTCGTGTTCTACTGATGTGGAAAGAAGAAACTGGGTAAATGTTATTTGCTGTGGTTCAGCAGAGCTGCCTCTAGCAGTGGTCAAGCTTAACACTGACCCAAAGAGTGAAGTTTGGGAGGGAGGATATGCAATGCAAATCTGCAGTGATCCCTGCTGAGTTCTGTTGGGTTGATTTGCCATTTCGGGGCTGTGATTGAGTTGATCCAGCCCAGATCAACAAATTGCACAGTGCGTGTCCAGCAAATGGGGATGTGGTTAATTCAGAGCCCTTGGTGGGCTCTGTGTGCTTTCAGAGCTCATGGATTTGGCCAGACCTTTTCCATTGGTGTAATCTGTGCTTTTCTTCAGAGGTTTGTTCTGCTTCTGCGATGAAGGAAGGGAGTAAAATCACTCAGATCTGATCTTTTAGCACCCTAAATGTAAGTGCTGGAGATGGACGATTCTAAAAAGAAAACAGTTAAATTTAGGCTTGTTGAACAGCTACTTTGGCCATAACTCCATCTCTTTCATCTGACCATCGACTGTGAATCTGAGCATTGAGAAACACACATTTAAACCAAAATAATCCGTTTCATGTTTAAAGGAGGCGATGTTACAAAACCGAAACCTGTTGCTGGGTTTGTGATTGATAAACATTTATCCATGTGTAAATGCATGGCTGGTTTTATTCATTCATTCATTTTAGGGCCATCTAAAAACACATTACCTCTTGGTAACTCCAGAACTCTCATTGGCTCTGTATAAAACTGAAATAAGTTCTTAGAGCATGTATTTTCAGCCATGCATATTTCTATGAAGCTCTGATTTCAGGCATAACAAGAGAAAAGAGCAAAGTAGGCAAAACTATACTGTGTGGAGTATTGAAGGCAGTTTCCTCCAACGCGTCAGCAAGGGGATTCACATCATAACTCTCCCTCCTTCCTGAGCTGAGAGATCTGCAGGAAAGCTTGGAAGAACCAGGCGGGATTGGGATCATGATGTGTCATAAAAAGGGCTGAATCCTACTCAGGGTTTTTAAAGAGAAGGGATAGTTGCCAAATATTCAGCATCAGAAAGCAGATGTGACCATGGACAGAGAAAGCTGCCTAGCTTGTTAATTTGGGTTTGGATGTACATGATGCTTCCTTTTTCCCTTTTTACAGTGCTCTAAAAATAATCTGCTTCAAGTTCCTTCACCGTTGTAGTATCAGCAGTGGTGTGACAGCCAGAGGGCTGAGCTGAATGCCAATGCCAGCTGAGTTATGCTCTGTCTCAGGTGAAACCTGGCTGGTGTGGACTTGTGATGGTGCTGCTACTTTTTGTTCTTGTTCTCATCATGACACAGCAGTGCAGCTTTTCTGGGTGCTCTACTCACCCAAGCATGGAGGTTGAGGTCCCTGTTGGATGCAAAACCTCTTCTGCAGTTGGACAACTGCTCTGGCTCTGATCACGCAACTGTCTAAACACGGAGGTCGAGTTCATTGTTGGATGCAAAGCCAGTTTTGCAGCTGGACAACTGAGGTGTGAGTTCAAGAAATGTTTGGACATGGCTCTCAGATGTAGGGTTTGGGTTTTAGGGGCACGGTGTGGAGTAAGGTTGGACTCAGTGATCCTTGTGAGTCCCTTCTGACTTGGGATAGTTGATGGTTCCATGATTCCGTGAGCACATTATGGGTCTGGTCACGAAGGCACTGATTGTGAGACCTAGAAAGAAGAAGAGGATGAGAACTGGGGAAAAAAAAATAGGATTGGAAGCAGCCTGAGCCAGGCAGTGTTGCTCTGTGCTGTAGCTGCCTGAAAGCCCTTCGGGTGCTCAGCCCATGACTCAGCCATGTCCTTGCTGTGTCTCTGTGTGGGCTGTACTGTACCTTGTCTTCTTAAGTGATGGTTTGTGCAGTTCTCAGGAGATGAAAGACATAAATAGTGTTTTCTCTTTACTAAATGGTCTCTGGCAGAAGCAACTGGAAAGGCTGGGATCTCATGAAAATCAGTCTTGCCATATCCTATGGTGACTGAGTCTGTAGGACTGGGAAGTCAACAGCATTTGGACTACTTCATAGACACAGATTCTTGTTGTAGATGGAGAAGTGGGACAGGAGGAATATCTCCCTGTTCAGCATCAGTTGTCCCATTGTTAGCCTGAAAAAGACTCCAGACATTATATAGATCAAGGAGATCCAAGACAAAAGGGATTATTTTTTAATTAGATCTGAGTGCACTTGGTGGTTTGTCACATTCTGTGTGAAATCAGTGGCTCAGATTCAGGAGAGTAGTCTGCTGATCTGTGTGAAGGGAAAGTTGTTACTCAGGTTTTGATGAGGAGAAGAACTTGGCTTGGTTTTATGAACGTGGTGGGTTGCATCATGTTCTCAGGCCAAGCCAGTGCAGAGGCAGTGTAATTTCTGTGCTGGGAATGGGATCTTTGCAGCATTGTGTTGGTTTACGGAAAGAGGGAAGTTCCAGTGCCTGGAAAAGGGGATGTAGTTATTACAACCCTGTTCTCTGATCTCATCAACTTTATTCTGTGTTAGAAAAACAAGGAAAGACCTTTGTGAGGTCCAGAATCTAAGAAATGCAGCCAGGAGGAAAAAAAAAAAATAAGAAAAACACATTTATGGTCCAAATATGTAGGCAACCTGAGTAAGAGATGCTGTGATGCCTCAGGGCAGGAGAAGTGGCCAGCAAAGGGGTTGGATGGATAGACAGACGGACAGGAGCTCCAGCTCCTTCCATGAGACTTGCTGGGCCTGCCTGTGCCCTGGCACTGATTACTCTGAGTTTCCCTTGCTGAGTGCTGAGCATTTGATGCTTTACTGCTCACAGATGTTCTCCAGAAGTTACGAGCTACGTTTGGGTGGGAACGAAGCCAACACAGGGATGTCTGGAAATGAGATCCCAGAGGACTGTGGTGGTGGAACGAAGATCAAACCCTATGT